CACTATGGGGTAATTTAGCACAGCCAATCCACCCTAACCTGCACATCCCTGAACACTATGGGCAATTTAGCATTGCCAATCCAACCTAACCTGCACATCTTTGGACTGTGGAAGGAAACCGGAGCACCTGGAGGAAACCCATGCAGACACAGGGAGAAGGTGCAAACTTCACACAGACAGTCTCCCGAGGGTGGAATTGAACCTGGGTCCCTACCGCTATGAGGCAGCAGTGCTAACCACTGAGCCACCAAATACTCCATATCCTAACATGAATACAGGTGGTATTGTTACATGGTGATGGCGAGTGAGTTAGTGACATTGGAGAAGGAGCTCACAAAAACCCAGAGAAAAGGTGGGCCTCGAGAACACCTCAAGAGGAGCACTTCAAAAGTAAACTAATTTGACCCCTGTATGAGAATGAGTGAAAGTCAGACAAGGTGTGAGTGGGGTACAGTGTGTAACAAGATGGGGAGTGTGCATAGACACGTGTGCAGCACAATTGAGAATCGCTGGAACAGCGAGAACTTTGAAAGGAAGAGGAATTGAGTGGGAAGAGGAATTCACCTGACGAAGGAGCGGCTCTCCCAAAGCTTGTGTTTTCAGATAAACCTGTTGGATGATAACCCAGTGTCATGTGACTTCTGACTTTGTCCACTTCAATCCAACACCGCATCGTGTCTCGCCACGTTCAGTGATCTGTGCACATATTCAGCTAGGTGCCTCTGCTCCTGCACCCCTTTAGGATTGTACTCCCTATGTTAGATTGCCTTTCAATGTTCTTCGGACCAAAATCCATCACCTCACACTTCTCTGCATTGAACTTCCTCTACCACTTCACCGATTTGTCAATGCCCTTTTGGAGTTCCACACTGCCCTTCTCACAATTTACGGTTCTCCCAAGTTTCATGGGTGGAGCTCCTCCATTCTGATTGGTCTTTCCCTTCGTTTTCTTTTTTTTTCTCCTCTCTCCCCCCGCTTCTTTCAGCCTTGGATTGGGGTCAGAGCTGGTCTACTGTGGACAGCCTTTGGAGAGAGGCTATGATGTTTGTCTTTTTAACTTTGTTTCTTGTTTGTTTCTGTTAGACTATGGTTAGACTGCGTATAGTTGTAATGTAACTTTGTTTTCTTCATTTCTCTATTCTATAACTAAGGATTGTACCTAGGTACCTCTGTACAGAAGATGGTGCTATAAGTGGTGACTTGTTAACTTATAACTGTACTTATTTCAGTACATGTGACAATAAAGCTCATTCAATTCAATTTGATTCATTTCTATCTACAAAATTTAAAACTGTCCCCCTGCACAAGATCTAGATCATTAACATATATCATTAACAAGGGTCCTAGGACCAGTCCCCCAGGGAACTCCACTGCAAACCTTTCTCCAGTCTGAAACATATCCATCGACCATTACTCCCTGACTCCTTTCATTCAGCCAATTTTATGTCCTTGTTGCTAAAGTCCCTTTAATTCCATAGCCATAACTTTCCTCACAAGTCTGTTGTGTAGCACTGCCTCAAACACCTTCTGGAAATCTATGTACACCACATCAACAGTGTTACCTTCATTGACCTCTCCTCTTACCTCTTCAAAAAACGCCAGCATCTTAGCTAAAGATCATTTCCTCTTTAGAAATCCATGCTGACTCTCCTGAATCAACCCACCTTTTCCACGTGACTATTGATTGTATCCTGAATAACTGTTTTGAGGAGTTTCCCCACTGCTGAAATTAAATGGATTGGTCTGGAAATACCAAGTTTATCTTAACAACCTTTCTTAGACCATGAGACTGTAAGATATAGGAGTAGAATTAGGCCATTCGGCCCATCCAGTCCGCTTTGCCATTTGATTATGGCTGATATGTTTCTCAGCCCCATTCTCCTGACTTCTCCCCTTAACCCCCAATTCCTTTACTAATAGTGTCATACAGCACGGAAACAGACCCATTGGTCCAACTCGACCATGCTGACCAAGTTTCCCAAACTAAACTAGTCCTGCCCGCCTGCTTTTGGCCCATATGCCTCTAAACCTTTCCTATTCATGTAGCCATCAGATGTCTTTTACATGCTGTAACTATACCTGCATCAACCACTTCCTCTGGTAGTTCATTCCATATATGAACCACCCTGTGTGAACATGCTGCTCCTCAGGTCCCTTATAAATCTTACTCCTCTCATCTTAAAAATATGTCTCCTAGTTTTGAACTCCCCAACTGTAGGGAAAAGACTCTTGCTATTCACCTTATCTATGCCCTTCAGGGTTTTATAAGTTTCTACAAGGTCACCCCTCAACTTCCTATGCTCCAGTGAAAAAAGTCCCAGCCTATCCAGCCTCTCCTTATAACTCAAACCTTCCAGTCCCAGTAACATCCATGTGAATCTTTTCTGAACGCTCTCCAGGTTAATAATATCCTTTCTACAGGGTGGATACAGTACTCCAAAAGTGGCTTCACCAACGTCCTGTACAACTGCAACATTATGTCCCAGCTCCTATACTCAGTGGTCTAACA